GGATAGCCAGAGACGGGGACATGTTTTCCTTCACACCAAACACATTCCATGATTTTCAGTGTCTTGTCACAAAATTGGTTAGAAAATTCTAGAAATGGGTCAATCCCAAGAACCATTATATGATTTTTTAAAAATTCCTTTAACACGCTGGTAGTGTCATAACTAATAATAGTGGCAATAATTTACTGAAAACCCATCATGGACCACGTACAGTGTTTTGTATACACTGGCTACTTTGTCTCCTGCTAGGTATTTTCCCCATCTTACAGATGGGGAGTGGGTTTAGAAGTAGTTAGTACCAGCAAGCAGGGAATCAGATCCCTGTATAATTTTAAAGGCTGTGATCTTTCTGCCACCCTGCCTCCTAAAATTACAGAAAAAAAAGAGGTAGATCTTTCTTGGAGGTTTTCAAGAATAAGACACCAGCATTCATGTGGTGATAACCTATGTTTCCTTCCTTACAGGTGGTTTGGGTAACAGCCACCTTCCCTTACATCATCCTTTCGATCCTGCTGGTGAGAGGGGCCACCCTCCCCGGAGCCTGGAGGGGAGTTCTCTTCTATTTGAAACCCAACTGGCAGAAACTCCTGGAGACAGGGGTAAGATAATGAGGAAAGCAGTGTGCACCTGTCTGTCTTTTTACTAACTGAAGCTAGTCCTCCGAATAGGACAGTAGGAACAACTGAAATTTGGGTTCAGCGGCAAGTCTGCAGTGATGCTTTAAACCAGAAATACAAGCATGAAAAGTACAGTTGAGGGGCTTCCCTGGTGGCGCAGTGGTTGAGAGTCCGCCTGCCGATGCAGGGGACACGGGTTCGTGCACCGGTCCGGGAAGATCCCACATGCCGCGGAGCGGCTGGGCCCGTGAGCCATGGCCACTGAGCCTGCACGTCCAGAGCCTGTGCTCCGCAACGGGAGAGGCCACAACAGTGAGAGGCCCGCGTACCGCAAAAAAAAAAAAAAAGTACACTTGAGGCCACTGCGTTGGTTTATGGCTAAGTGATAGGAAGAGAACTCACATTTGTTTGCACTTGGTATGTGGCCAGCCCTGGAAGGAGCCCTGAGAAGCCTGTTTTTTGCCTCTGCATGTAGCCACATGGAGGCATGAGGGCGCTGGCCCCGCTGGTGCTCAGCGATGGCCTGGGTCTCGGCCCTGGCCCTTACCTCTGCTGTGTTGCAGGTGTGGGTGGATGCGGCCGCCCAGATCTTCTTCTCTCTCGGTCCTGGCTTTGGGGTCCTGCTGGCTTTTGCAAGCTACAACAAATTCAACAACAACTGTTACCAGTGAGTATCTGGGGCCCCCCAAGCAAAGCTTGAAAGTGGAGTGAGTGTAAGTCAGCTGGTCTGGAGGAAAGCAATCAAACCGATGGCCTCAAACCTGGCCAGGCTTAGGCCACATTGACACTCTGACCCTCAGGGGTGCCACAGATGCCTGACCACTCACCCGGACCATAGCCTCACTCAGGGGTTAAGAGAGGCTCCAGGCCACTTCTGTTTTGTGAGATTCTCTATATGTCAGGAAAAATTAAGAAATTCCAAAGCAGGTTTACAGAAATCACAACATACATTCAGTGTTTAGATTTGACCTGTTAAAGTATTTAACAACAAAAATTGTGATAATTTATTTATGTATCTATATACAAAAAGAATAATGATTGAACTATTTTGACCAACATAGAATGCCATAATTTTTATGTCAAAATCTCATTTCAAAAATGTGACAAAACAGGGAGCATGGTGCCAATTATGATTTAACTATCACTCCTCATCTTTAGAGTTAACTTTGTCTTAATATTCTATCACAGATGGCAATGTCCAGCAGTCTGATTGTGCTATTCGTAAGATAATTATAGAATTAATTTTTTTTTAAAAAAGGAATTTACATGCACCCTAAGCAATGTGGCCTTGCATTGGGACGCCAGCCTAAAATTGTATGATGAAGTCCTCTTTTAAAAGTGTCAGGATATCTTTGTGGCACTCTTATAACCTCATTTACACATAATGTCAAAAGTCTAAATCTGAGGTCTTCACAAATGTAAGGCCAAGGCCTCCTCCTGGCCCCCGCTGCAACTCAGGCCCTGGTTCAGAGCAAGCCTTGTTTGAAATCCAGAGGTCTGTGCTGTGCTGGTTTACAACAAAATCATCTCTTAAAACCACCCCTGACTGCTGTTCTCCCCATGCCATGCGTGGTGATAACAGCAGCTTGTGCTTCAAGGTAATGCAACCCGTCTGAGAGGCTGGGCCCTGGGAGGAGGGGAGGAGACACCCGGACAGGCTTGAAGTCCCTGGGAGCTCAGCCCACTCACCCTTGTCACAGCTGGAGACAGATACTCCTTAGATTCCTGACTTGGAAATGTCTCAGGCCCCTTGGGTTTTCTGCTCCAGAGACGCCTTGGTGACCAGTGTGGTGAATTGCATGACGAGCTTCGTTTCAGGATTTGTCATCTTCACAGTGCTGGGGTATATGGCTGAGATGAGGAACGAAGATGTGTCTGAGGTGGCCAAAGATGCAGGTAGGACCTCGGGTTTTGTTTGGGTTCCTGGCTCCCACTGAATTGCTTTGCTGCTCTTTGGATCTTTACAAATATCTAACGTTTGCATTATTTCTAAATGTTCCTCTTAAAATTCTCAAAGGTTTTAGAGAAACTTACTGCCTTGGAAATTTCAACCCTTTCCATGGTGGTAATGGGGCAGCTCCCTCGGCACCCAGTACTGGGGCCTTGAATACATTGTGGGCTTGGAAATATGACTTGGATGATGGCTTTTAAAACTAGTGGGTTTGGGGGACTTCCCTGGTGGTCCAGTGGTTAAGACTCCGTGCTCCCAATGCAGGGGGCCCAGGTTCGATCCCTGGTCAGGGAACTAGATCCCGCATGCATGCTGCAACTAAAAGATCCCCCATGCTGCAACAAAGATCCCTCGTGCCGCAACTAAAACCCAGCGGCAGCCAAATAAAACAAACTAACTAAAAAACAGTGTGGGGCTTCCCTGGTGGCGCAGTGGTTAAGAATCCGCCTGCCAACGCAGGGGGCATGGGTTCGAGCCCTAGTCCAGGAGGATTCCACATGCCGCGGAGCAACTAAGCCCATGTGCCACAGCTAATGAGCCTGTGCTCTAGAGCCTGCGAGCCACAAGTACTGAAGCCCACTGGCCTAGAGCCTGTGCTCCGCAGCAAGAGAAGCCACCGCAATGAGAAGCCCGTGCACCGCAATGAAGAGTAGCCCCCGCTGGTCACAACTAGAGAAAGCCCGCGCGCAGCAATGAAGACCCAACACAGCCTAAACAAATAAATAGATAGATAGATAGCAATTCCTATTTTAAAAAAACAAAACAGAACAAAAAAAGTATGTTTGGGTCCTGTGATGGGTCCAAGTCTAGGAAGCAAATGATTACTAATGCTTTGCAGAAAAATTAAATGTAGATGATGTAGCGCTCTACTGTACTGTAAGGTTTCATGGAAAAAGAGCAACAGACGTTGAAGAAGAGGTTATGGGATCTTGTGGATGGAGTCCCAGGGCTTTCTTGCAAACATACATCTGTCTTTAGCCCGACACGGTGCTCTGATGAACTCCATGCCCCAAACTAAGGGTGGCCTATCTAGTCCATGAGAGGTTGAAGACATGTCCCTCATACTATCAAAAAGGACTTCAAGATAGCTGGAGGTCTTTATTCCGAGGCCGCTAGATTCTTCTGAAATCAGTATAACATTTCCTACTGTTCTGGAGCTAAAGAGAGAGCTAAACGCTGTGAGACTTCAGAGATATATCAAGCCTCATGTTGAAAAAAAAAAAACACTGAATTATTATATAGCGGACACTCCAATTCATGTGCTCAGCTTTGCTAGTCTTGAGGTCTCAGGTTTGCTTCGTTTCTCCATGTTGGTTGAGGGCGCATACTCTTCAAGGTGGATACTATTCCCTTCCTGCCTCCCAGGATGTCCAGGTAGGATGGTGTGGGGTGTGAGGAAGCATTTGGTACATGTCCAACCCTGATTCACATGTAAGGTTTTGTGACAGGAGTTGTAATTGTTGGTGTGGCCAAGTTTCTCCTGAGACATCTTTGTAGGGCAGGTCTCAGCGACCACCTCCTCCTCTTTCCCGCTCTGTCTCAGGCCCCAGCCTGCTCTTCATCACATATGCGGAAGCCATAGCCAACATGCCTGCATCCACGTTCTTTGCCATCATCTTCTTCCTGATGTTAATCTCACTGGGCTTGGACAGCACAGTAAGTGAATGGGGAGGGAAATCCGGCTCTCGGGAGGAGGGAGGAGGGGGGGAGGAGGAGGGGAAGGAAGCTGTACCCATTCCTTCCCATCCTGGCCACCCCAGGCCATGTTGGCTGCTCCCTCTTGGTGCTCCCTCAGCCCCTGTTCACTTGGGTGCTTACTGCCCTCTAGTACATTAGAGGCATTAATGGGATAATGAGGGTAAAGTGCCAGGCACAGGCCGAGAGCTCAGCATATGTGAACTGTTGTGCACTCATTGTGCACTGTCCCTTGACCAGACTGGCAGCACCTGAAGGCCAGGGCAAGGTCACACTTGTGTCTCAGTGCCCTGCAGCCCAGCATTCATATCATTAGTGTGGAATGAGTCTCAGCTTTCAGTTGGCATTTCTGGTGCAACCAAAGTCTCCCCGAGATACCTCATGTAAAGAAGTCCTGTCCATGTGCTATACTTTCTTTCCTTGATGTCCTTAGGAATGGGTTCTAAATGACGGGGTAAAACGGAGATATGTTTCCAGTGAGGGCCGGTGAGTAGGGGGAACTGGTCACGATCAGCTTGACAGGTCACTTGGCAATTTAACCCCTCCCTTCTGTTCACTGTCCTAGAGGTAGCAGATTTGTCCCAAAGTCTACACAGTGACCATTTGTGTGCCCCTCTTAGTTTGCAGGCTTGGAGGGGGTGATCACAGCCGTGCTGGATGAGTTTCCACACATCTGGTCCAAGCGCCGGGAGTGGTTTGTGCTCAGTGTGGTCATTACCTGCTTCTTTGGATCCCTGATCACCCTGACTTTTGTGAGTACCAAAACCCTAAACTTAGAGTCAACCTCCCCTAGGGCAACAGAATGTTACAAGAAGCTGTTCCTTTCCCTCCCACACGGTGCCCTGGCTTTGGGGCCAAAGGGAGAGAAGTTGTCACCGCTGTTAGAAAGTTAGTCATCAAGAAGAGGAAGAAAAGTTGTTTCTAGTGGCATCTGTCTGAAGAATCTGGGCGTGGTATCTGGAGGCTCAGCATTTTACAGCAAATCCAACTAGATTTAAGGCTTGACAGACTATCTGGAGGAAAACTAAGATGTGTCTTTTCAGTATATTTCCAGTCCTTAGGGCTGCTTTCATAGGAATAGTGCCCTGATGTCCTGATATGCTGAACATCTGGAGGCTGCCATCTCATGTTTGTAATGTCATTTCATCTCCTCCAGAGAATTTGTAATGGTAAAGAAGTTAGACCTTCTCTAGTGATTTTATTTTTGGGGGGGGGGTAGCTTAGGCACATACTGTCAAACTGTAAATCAGGCATCAGATAGTACCCACAGGCATTGCAGGCGTGTATCCTTCTGACTCAAGGCAGATTTTGATAAAATAAAATCTTCAAGCCATGACCCCAATGGCTCTGGAGCTTCAGCAGGGTTGTGGGGCCCTGAGTAGGACCCAAGGGATTTGTGAGTTAGGACAGAGGCAAAACCATGACCACTGGGCCCGGTGTGTCTGGTATTGTAGATTTTCTGGGGTAGAATACACAGTAGGTATTCAGTAAAGTTGAAAGTTGAAAACAGATCCAGAGGCGTTTTTGAGTTTGTCTTAAAGCTTAGTGGGGAGTGGAAACAAGAGTGACCTGTAGGGCGGGAAGAGGTGTGTCTGATGGGATGAAATCTTGCCCATCTGCCAGGGCCAGTCCAAGAAGTAGGCTCTGGGACACTTATGTTATACCCAAGGAGAGAATTTTCCAGAATTATCCTAAGAAGTTCTTTTTGCTCCTGTCGTAAAGAGGAGGCAGTGCCTCAGAGGGCCTTTAACCGGGTTTGTGGTCTCATTTCCAGGGAGGGGCCTACGTGGTGAAGCTGCTGGAGGAGTTTGCCACGGGACCCGCAGTGCTCACTGTTGCCCTGATAGAAGCAATTGCTGTGTATTGGTTCTATGGTAAGATGCTCCCTTCCACTAGCCACGATCCTTCCTACACCAGCCCATATAGCCACCAGAATACAGAAGGGCTGATGTCGTCAGGAAAAAGCAGCCAGTGTACAAGACGTCACCTGCTGCATCCCTTCTTCAAAAACATGTCATCACTTCCTCCACAATGTGCAACAGATTGCCTGCACTCCTGGGAGGATGATTTTTTCTTCTGAGTTTATGTGTTTACCCAGTGGAGATAGGGCTGAAGTGGTTCCCTATAGCTCATCCACAGTGGTTGCTTAAGATCCCGACAGGCTCTAAGAATTGGACAGACAACAAAGAACTAGTGCACAGTGAATGCATTTGCAGAGTGTACAATATTCTGCCGTTACATAGAGTGGCCCCACGTTAAATTTCACAAACGAGCACTCCCTCCAGAGCCCTGAGACAGAGTTTAGGAGCTTATCTTCTAGGGAAGAGGCAAGAATGTTCCTGTTTGGATTATCTGTCTTGGTAAAGCCTCCAATTTACACCGCCCCCACCCCCGGCCCCCCAATCGTGGGATGGAATCTGATAAGGGTGAAACCACCAGGAGCAGAGAGAGAGCTGACACAGGTTCATGGGCAGGGATCCCAAGAGCCCCTGGGCGAGGACGAGGAGGGCACAGGCAATGGAAATGAAGAAAACCAAGTTCAGAGATGCCTTTCTTCATCTTTAAAATCAAGATGTGATGATTTCATTCTGAAAATATTTTCCTAGTTTCTATGATAGCAGAACAGCTTTAGCATGTGTGTCATTACACGTAATATAAAGAAGGGGGGGCCCACATTTTGAGTTGCATGTAAGCCCTTTTTTTTTTTTTTTTTGAAAGAAGTCCTCCCCACCTCCTCAGCACTTCGGAGGACCAAGTGCAAGGTGTGTGATGTTACAGACCTGCTGGGCACTTTCAGGGAAGCAACTGCAGAGCACCCTTCCTTCCCCTTTTCGATTTCTCCCCCAGTCCTCACTTCCATGCCAGTTACTGTGTAGAGAAGAACCTTGATCTTGATCTGACATATGAATGCGCAACAGTGTGGTTAAAATTTTCTCTTCAAAGCTTCCAGCATATGGTCAGAGTCGGTCTCTGTCAAGTGGTTTCACCGTTTTTAGACAAAATTCCACTTCCTTTTCTACAGTAACGATAAAATCAGATATATGCTGAAATCCTAGAAAGGCAGTGTGGGCACGAAGAGGGGGCTTTAGGTCCCTCCCCAGATGTCCACCAATCCTCCCACTCCGTGTAGAAAGAGCTTTGCTTACTGTAACGTGCATTTTTGTGACAAGTCCCCCATCTCACTTTCAGACCAGACTGGTGCCCCCAAGCCCCTCCTTTGGAGAAACTCCAGAGCTGTTAGAGAGTCAAGGGATAGGAGGACAGTCTAGTTCCTCTCTCAGTCAGTCAATCTCGTTCTCTTTTGGATGATTTTAGGCATCAATCAGTTCTGCAGTGATGTGAAGGAAATGCTTGGCTTCAGCCCTGGATGGTTTTGGAGGATCTGCTGGGTAGCCATCAGCCCTCTGTTTCTCCTGGTGAGTTGTCATTTCCCTTCTCCTTCTTGCCCTGGAGAAAGATTCACCCTCAAACACTCATAAAAAAATAAATTTTATCGAAGTGTAACATATATATACAGAAAAGTGTGCAAATCACAAGTGTACATCTCAGTGAAATTCTATAAACTGAGCACCATTTTGTAGCTAAAACCATACCAAGAAACACATGACCAGTACTTCACAAGCCCCTCTTGTGTCCCCTCCCAGTCACTGTGCCCCCATAGTTAACCACTCTTCTGGTTTCTGTCACATATTTCATCCCTCCCCTGCTCTGTGATAATGACACATAACGTTCATTGAGCAGTGAGTGCCAGGCCGGACTTTACACTGAACGTAACACCCACTGCTGTTTCAACTCTCACAATTCTGTGACGTAGAGTTCTAGTTCCCCATTTCACACGTTCAGAGAAACTGAGGTTTAGGGTCCAAGGTCACATGACAAGAACTGTTCAAGGCCGGGGAAGTATCTACTGTGCTGCTCATGAAGGACCTAACAAGGGTCCTAGTAATTCTGTATTCATTTTCTTAAAGACCACCCCCACCCCCCACCAGGTTTCTCAGGTGTAGATCTGAGTCAAAAGTAGAATCCATTCATTGTAGAATGAGAGAGCTCAGCTCCAAGGGTTGCCTGTTTGCCAGGACGTGTTCAGTGCTGACTCCAGCCTTGCTGCGTGTGCCCCTACTTCCCTCCTGGTACCCGTCTGAAGGAGATGTTTGCCCAAAGATGGATAAGTACCATGCTAACATCCCAAGTGCACTCTGAGGTAGCCTGGGGTAAAGTGACTCCGTGCACATCAGCAGGGATTACTCTCCGTTCTTTCATTTATCTGTAACTTGATTTGGGGTGGGGGGAGCTTTTTGGTCTTTTAGAGCCAGAGACTGTTCCTTCAGTCCAGCTCCAGCTTATTAGGATATCTGGACCATCCATTTCATCATAGGACATGTATGCATCTGTGCCTTCCCCTTCTTTCAAAACAACCCTTTTTGCATTCTAGTTTGACTTTCTCGGGGTAGTTCTTTTTTTTTCTTTTGCGGTACACGGGCCTCTCACTGTTGTGGCCTCTCCCGTTGTGGAGCACAGGCTCCGGACGCGCAGGCTCAGCGGCCATGGCTCACGGGCCCAGCCGCTCCACGGCATGTGGGATCTTCCCGGACCGGGACACGAACCTACATCTCCTGCATCGGCAGGCGGACTCTCAACCACTGCACCACCAGGGAAGCCCTCGGGGTGGTTCTTTATTTTTTGTGCTTTTCTGTACCTGCACATCTCGATGTTAACCTATAAGATGGACAGCGTGCTCATTCTTGCCTCCATAATGCTGCACACGTCTCTCTCTACCCCAGAATCCCTCCTTGACTTCCGTTCCCCTGGACCCTGGAGGTTTCCAGAACCAAAGCCAACCTTTGCCCCAAGCAGCAGATACTCTCAGGGCCTGGGGACTCTGGTGTGTGCTGTGGGCTCCAGTATTCCTTTAGATCTTGGCCTGGTAGTTCCTTATTACCTTGTCAGCTTGCTGTTGCTTTTTGGTAAATTTAAAACAATGTATTTTTAAATCCAGAAATTTTAGTTGTTTTCAGTGAGAGGGTTGGTCTGGATCACTAATCTGCCATTAGTAGAAGCAGAAGTCCTGACATAAATGGGTTATTATATTGTTACCAGTGCTTCTTGATAATCTACTTAAATCTTTTCATTTGTTTTTTAAAGGAAGGAGAGAGATTGGATTAGTTCCCTGAGGGAAGAAGCCATGTTTGTTTGTTTGTCTACTTTCATATTCTCCACACAGGGAGGGAATGATGTTCAGGGCTGAGACTCAGGAAAGGCAAGCAAGGCACTCATCCTGGACGTAAAATTTCCGGGGGTGCCAAAAAACTCAGTAGTCAAGATAAATACTACTTTTTTTTTTTTTTTTTGGCTGCATCGCGCAGCTTGTGGGATCTTAGTTCCCCAACCAGGGATCGAACCCTTGCTCCCTGCAGTGGAAGCATGGAGTCTTAACCACTGGACTACCAGGGAAGTCCCGATAAATACTATTTTTATGCAGTAGTTTTTAAAAATCAAAATTAATGCAAAAAAAAAATCCCTGATGAACAAAATACCGTTTTAAATAAATACAGGATCCAACCATACACTTGCATGTCTCACTTCACTCACCTTGCCCTAATCTGGCCCTGTCAGAGCTTGTCTTTTTAAAGTATTGCACTAAAATATTATATTATTATTATTTCTTGATTACTGAAATTCTGACATCCTCTTAAATGTTGTGCCCAAGGTGAATGTATCATATGCCTTACCCTAGTCCTGGCCCCAGGCTTTTAGTATTTTCATTTCTGTGGTTGTCTGGCAAACTGGGTGAACTCTTGGTGTACAGCCAATGAGTTTCCGTGCCCAGCAAAACCCAGGTACAGATCTGGGTTCAGGGACATGACATAATTCCTGTGATGTTCACTCTACTCACTTCCTCTAAAGGTAAGTGCTCCAGGGCCCAATTAAGAGGAGGCAAATCTGTCTTCCACTTCTGGGTTTACTTAACAGATCCCCTGCTTTGGGCTTTTTGAAGCTGCTTTAGGTAAACAACTAGTAGCTTACTAAAAATATTCGTTTTCACTGAAGCCAAGTTATAAAGAAGAAAAATATTGTCTATGAGCAAGAGGAGGTGGGGATGTGCGAGGGGGTGTCTGGAGCAATACTTAGTGGCCACAGTGAGAGCTTGAGGCCTCCCTGAACTGCATTAGGTTTCACACACCTGACATCAAGATGAGACGAGTTACAGCAGGGATGGCTCCTAACCAGACCCCACCTTTCCCTGTTTCAAAATTACCTTTCTTAGTAGCCGGGTCTGGGGCTGAGGAGAGTCTGTCCAGAGAAAGGTTTGCGATTGGCTGGGCTCCTGTTTTGAAAGCTTCCTCCTGGACTTAGGATAACACTGTTCTGAAGATGAATGTGTGTTTAACAATTTCCCATTTTATTATGTGAAGAGAAAGAAAAAAAAAGATATAAATAGATGTTTAAGCCCACAAATAATTTACATTACTGTCTTCTTTATGACTATGAAATAATAAGATAAAATTAAATCAAGAGCAATAACGATTTCAGCACAGCGGTTACTAGGCAAAAACTGGTATTTACGCTGTCTCTGGAAACCAAACTGAAATAAGAAAACTCATAAACCGAGTACTGGGAGCACACCATGGAATTTTTCTTGGTCGGAATCTTCACTGAATTTTCACGTCAAAAGTGTATTGAGCTGCTTTTTCCTTCCATTATTCCTTTCATTACAAGGGCCTGTGGCAGGCAGTCATTTATTGTCAAGATGCCTCACGGCAGAGCCATCCTTGTTGAAATCCCAGTTCTTAGCCTGGGGTTAATGCAAGGAAAGGGGGGAGAAGAACTTACCTAGGAGCCTGAGTCTTCTCCAGCTCTTGAGAACCTTATTATGTCTCCTGGACCTAGGTGCCTTCCATCTTACCAAAAACAATCACTGCAGAGAAACGCAGGAGGAAATGAGAACAAAGCAGAAAGAAATATGAAGCCCTAGGACTGGCAGGAGCTATGGAGAAGTCTCCCAGTTTATTCCTCCACTGTCTCACAAATCGGGCCTGAACCACTCCTGATGGATGCGTCTCTTCTCCTTTGCCCTGAAAGGGGCGCTGTAACCCCCCTAAATAACCTTCTGAGGCCTTGGCATCCCCACTGTAGGGGCTGAGGTGGGGGTAGGGAGGAAAATCAAGAAAAGCCCCTAACCGCTTCATTGTTGGCAGCTGAGGCACAGAAATTAGTGACTTCTTTGTGTCAGAGTTCAATCTACGATATATCACACTTAGGCAACTTCCTGAAAGTGTCTTAGCTTTAGTGTTCAGTGTTTGTGGTATATGGACTGTCTCTGTGTGGATATCGTGAAACATTTTTAATGTTTCTTGCTTGGAATTTCTGTTTTAGTTCATCATTTGCAGTTTTTTGATGAGCCCACCACAGCTACGACTTTTTCAGTATAATTATCCTCAGTGGAGCATCATCCTGGGTTACTGCATAGGAACCTCATCTTTCATCTGCATCCCGATGTATATAACTTATCGGCTGATCATCACTCCAGGGACACTTAAGGAGGTATGTGCTAGTGTGTGTGTGTGTGTGTGTGTGTGTGTGTGTGTGTGTGTTTAGATTGGTAACTGTTTGGGGAGAAAAGGGTTCTCTTCTTATGCTCTATTCAAAGGATGTTAAGTCCACCACAAGAATTCACCAGGAGGCTCTTAGTCTTATATAATTATATAACTATACCATCGTGTAGCCTCTAATAGCTGCCACTATCACCTTAAGGCATCTCCCATAAGCCTCAAGTACAAAGGCGAAAGAGTGAGCTGGCCATCTGGATGCACCATAGCACACAGCTTGGTGTATAGCATTCTAAACATATCAGAAAACTGCTTTGCCTCCTGCATGGCATTGGGCATGCACATCAGATCAGTGGTGTCTGGAGCAATAACGCAAATTTGATTTAAGTGGATTTAAATTAAATCCACTTGGTTTAAGTGGAGATTATGATGGAAAATGTCTGTGGTCATTTTCTAACAGCAGTGTGACAAGGGCTTTTTAAAACAAATTTATTTATTTATTTGGCTGCGTTGGGTCTTGGTTGCTGCACGGGGGCTCTCTCTAGTTGCAGCGAGTGGGAGCTACTCTTCGTTGTGGCGCGTGGGCCTCCCGCTGCGTTGGCTTCTCTTGTTGCGGAGCACAGGCTCTAGAGCACAGGCTTCAGTAGTTGTGGCTCGCGGCCTCCAGAGCGCAGGCTCAGTAGTTGTGGCGCACAGGCTTAGTTACTCCACGGCATGTGGGATCTTCCCGGACCAGGGCTCGAACCCACGTCCCCTGCATTGGCAGGCGGATTCTTAACCACCGCGCCACCAGGGAAGCCCTACAAGGGCTGTTTTGAAAATCACTAAATAAGGGTGTTGCAACAATATCGTAGTTTTAGTTCAAGTCACTGGAATGAAAAAAAAAGTTGCCATTTTAGCAAGATTCATGTCAGTAAATGAATAATGTGCTGTAAAAATTTCAGTAACAGAATCTTACAATTTGTATAAGATTGTATGTATTTTAAAGCATCTTCATGTAGACTATTTTATTTTGTTATCAAAATACTTTGTGAGGTGGATGGGCAGGTATCATTAGCAGACAAAGATACTGAGTCAGGGAATAATGCTGCTCATAGTTTCCTTATTTCAGTGACTTGTCCAGGGATACACAGTACAGGGAGGCTCAGAATCCAAGTCTTCTGGTTTTTGGTCCAATGCTCTTTCATGTTTAGGTGCAGCTTCTCTTTTGTGTCCTCAGGGTACTAATAGTTTGCTAATGTAGAAATTGGCTCTAGAGGTTAGGGAGAGATGAGTTGCCACTTTTCATCCTGTACTGACAAGAGTTAGTGTTCAGGCTGCCAGGATTCCTAGCAATGTTACCAGAATCGAAAATGCTTGGGTTGTTACTTGTTTGGTTGTGCTTCTTGCCATAGTAAGGTTACTGTGGCAGTAGAGCCTGAAGAAGCGGCCACTTAGAAGTCTGTGGGTGGATGCTTTTGTAGGAGACAAGCTCAAAGGTGAAGAGTGGTATTTGGGGGAGAGCTAGAGGGACCTGTGCTCTATAATGACCTGAGAGCATAGGTGGGCTAGTCTATGGACTCTTAGAAACAAAACTTAAATATCAGATCATCATACTCATCTTCCTAAAACATTTCACAAGAAACACGAAGCAAGAGAACGTGAGGCCATTAAACATCATCTCTTTTCTAAGAACTGAGATTGCTTCTTTTTCCAAACAGAAAAACTGAATTCTAGGTGAACAGAATTAGTAACTCTGCCAGGAGTTACTAATTTCCTACACCCAAAACAGTCCTATCACAACCTCATTCCTCCCAAAGGGGCTTGGACTCTGGTGCTGCCTGAAATACACGCTCAGACAAGTCATTGTACTTGCTCCTTCAGGTTGTCCTTTATGGCAGTCATGATAGTCCACTGGCCCAGCTGACTCAAACCCAGAGGCCAAGGTTAGGGGTGGGAACTCTAGTTAGGTTAATAAATTTCAGTATTCTTTGGTCACAGACTGTACCTCAAGTCTTGATCATCTTTCTTGCAAATTCCCCGTTAGCCACAAGGAAATGCCACCCAACGGTGTATAATTAACAGAGCTCAGATCCATTAGTAGTAGAGGTAAGGCCGATTGCAGGGCCATGTTTGTCATAGGCCACCAGATGGGAAACAGTGGGTTACCAGGAAGCATCATGATATAGCTGGTCAAGGGGGCCTAGGAGGCAAAAGACTATGGCAGGTCATTTACCTGCTCTGGGCCTTAGTTTCTTCACCTTTAAAATGTGCTCATTGAATTGGATTAACATTTCCAAAGTATGTTTTAAGGAGTAGTAGTAGTTCCATGGGATATCAATAAGTGTTACTGCTGGGGGAAAAAGGTTACGTGGTCAAATAATTTTAGAGAATGCTGGATTAAGGCAAGGTAACTAGGTCTCTTTACTACAGGATTTCTCAAAAGCCTTAACATGCCTATGTGCATGCTTAATTTCTGATAAGAATAAAGCATGCCATGTTTTTGCCAAGCACCCCAAGGGACTAAAATTTTTTGTGAATACCAGACTTGATGGTCTTGAACATTCTATCTATGAGGGAGGGAGAACTCATATAAAATTTTGGTATGGTTAAAAAGAAAATAAAAAGTAAATTTCTTAACTCTTCTGGGCCCTAGCCATATACAAGGCCACAGTTTGTGGAGTGAGCCACCACTTACTCACCTGTAATTTGGAGGCTATCATGTGCATCTGCAACCTGGAAGCCTCAAGGTTGGAGTCATCAACTGGATTAGGTCACTGCCCCCAGAAGCCCCTAGTAACCTGCACAAAGACACTGGGAAGATGGTCCCTAATAAGTAAGCATTCATGAAGATGGCAACAGTGATCCATTGCTTAGATGACTGCCTTGCAGAAGGCCAGGGACTGGCAAATTTTGAGAGCGATAGTAACGTGGCAACTGGAATGCTGCTGAAATATGGAAGACGAAGGTGGACCTGGCATTTGGGGAGATCAGCAGCCAGAAGGGCAGGAGAATGGGCAGGAGGGGGCTAGGGCACAAAAGCCAAATGTTCTACTTTACAGTGTTGGTTACTGTGGGTCTTGCCTCTACCCTAGTTAGAGTGATGTGTCCAGTTCCCAATTAGCAAGGCCTAATTCTCCTTAATCAGTTATGGGTTACAGATTCATCTATGGGAAAGGATGGTTTGTGAAATTTTGCTTTCTATGACTTGACATGTCCAGGTAGTTGATGAACACTGCAGCAACTCGTTTTTAAATGGATTTCCAGTGTGAGATTTTAGTTCTTGAAATATTAAGGTCATTAGGAACACAACATGTACAATTTTGTGAACTTCATTACCTATGAGAATGGGAACTTTTAAAATTCCATAGGCCCTGCTCCCTAAAGAAGAATCAACCCCCAGAACCAGGAAATAAAACCAGGAAATAAAAAAACTGAACCAGGAAATAAAAAAAACTGAAGGGGACTACATACTTTTTCAATCCAAAGTAAAAAGGACAAGTAGCAGAGCTTCACCTAAAATCAATAAATCAAAATATGCTTTCAGATCCAATTTTGCCTTGCTCACCATATGTACAGACTTTTGGCATCAAAGATTTTACTGAGCAACTTACTTACTTAACAAAGATTTTCTTCTGCAGTGCTCCCCACATCCCTGAGCTGCTTCATGTCACTGATGCTAAGTTTTGCAAGGCAGGCTGTATATTTCATACCCAAGCCCAAGCATATTTCAGATCTGTCCCAAAGTTTCTGTGTACCTCAGCTGTTTCTAAAGTAAAAATTCTCAGCCTTTTCCCTGTGCTAAGTACTACATCAACATGAGATTGCTTTAGGAATGATGATTTAAATGGGCACATCTTTTAAAATTTAATTATGTAATAATTTGCACCCTTGTATGAACTAACCAGTGCTCCTTAACAGGTAAATTCATTAAATCAGTAACATCCTGGCTGTTACAGTGGCTGATGGCACTGTGCACTGTGCCTGTAGCATGTATGCAGGCACAAGGAGCATGGCTGAGGTGGGGGGAGCCAGAATCCAGAGCTCACTCTGCTTCCCAAGCCCTGTGGGCCACATGAAGCCTCCTCTGACAAGAGAAAAGGATGCCCTTTCCCAGGCCATCAAAGGCATGTTACAGGCCAGCAGAGGTTCTATTGAAGGTCCATCATTTCTCCCATTAGTGTTATGATGACTTTCTTAATTAGTTTACAGATGCTTATATAGTTCCTGAATATGCCATTTTTACCCATATTTGAGAATAAATTGCGGATTCCTTTCTTAAGGAAAGTCAGTAAGACTATTCCAATTTACTATTAAATGCCATTTAAATGCTACTTAACCTTTGTATTAATATTGAAAAAAAATTTAAACTGTTAAATTATAAGAATATTTATAACATCATGTTTTCTTCCTAACAGCGTCTTATTAAAGGTATCACTCCAGAAACACCGACAGAAATTCCCTGTGGGGATATCCACTTGAACGCTGTGTAAAACATCAATGAAAGGAAAATGGCTTCCCAACAAGCTCTTCCTCCAGTTCTGACAAGTCACACCTCGCCTTCCCCCTCTAAGTCAATGAGCTGCCAGCTAAGCCTGCCGATGGAAGGGCCTTCTTCATAGAGACACAGTCCCAAAAGACTATGGTGCCCAGACTCTTATGGCCTCCAGCCACTTATTTCTGTGAAATCTCCCAGACATGTTATCATGTTAGACTCTGTGATGCAGCTGAAGTGGACTGCTTTGGATGTGGGAGGGTGTGTATGGAGGTGATGAAAACCACAATATCGTCAGTTAGGATTAGGTTTAGGATCAAGTCTGTGAAAGTCTCCTGTATCATTCCTTGTTACTATCATCAGTATTTAACATCGTTTGCTTCCAAAGGTTTCACTGTTCATGAATGCATAAACCATTTAGAAGAAAACAGGGATACTGTCTTGCTAGCCATATATTTCCTGAGTAGCATAGAATTCTACTATAGCTGGAATCTACTAGAACCCTGTAACCTGTGTACTGCTCTGGAGTCAGGAGAGGAGGATGTAAGAAGCTAAGCTGAAAAATAATGTGTACATGTGAGCATGTGTGTTTGTGTATACTGTTGTTCCAGTGTATCCCTATCTCCATTCTAATACTTTGGGCCCATTACAAACTTTATGAATTTCCTCTAGTTTTTCCTACATTAACAAATTCCACCTACTGAAATTTGTATGTATGTTATTATTTGAAGGGTATAATTACTACAACACACTCTGCCACCCGCTCCTTTTCCAATGAACTTTAGCCCATACATCTTCCTTTATGGGCCATGCTTTAGTATTTCTTGCACTTCACTGCCATCTTCTTGTCTCTCTCTGCTAAACATTCAGGATAATGTTCCACAGGCAAATCTGGCCTATTTCATTAGTCACTGTGGCTTGGCTATGAACTACTTTGAAGATGAATATTGATAAATGCATCTTCAGTGTTCAGTTGACTATCTGGTTTAAGCTCTGTCTACTTCAAATGACTCAGTTTAACCATTAAGGTTACTTGGCTCTGTGAAGAGTGGATAAATCGAATTTTCACAGAGTGTAGAGCTCTGGTACCCTGACCTAAACCAAGGTCATCCTCAACCCAAAAGTAATTGGAGAATCTGGGTTAGCCTTAAATGAACCTCCTCCCAACCGCTTGACCCTTCCTGGTTGGCTACCAGGATACTGAGCCCTCCAGATAATTTTCAAGACTGAGTCTAAGTAAGCCTGATTGGAAAAGGGTCAGTTAAGTGAATAACCTTACACGCCACATAAAACCCTTAATACAGATCAAGTATATTTGACCTTCAGTGGCTTGGGACTCTCAGATGCATTGGTAGAGAAGCAAATTTTACCTTGTAGTATGAGATTTCCTTACCAAAATCTTAAAGGGAGTAAAGCCTAGTCAATGATAAAAGGACTCAATGATCTGGCCCCATATCACATCAGTCCTCTATATAAATCTAACTTAATCCTAACCTTATAGAAAGATCTATATAGCAGAAGCCTAGTTTAATCCAATTATAGAGCTTCCTCCCTTGGCTTCCTTTCCCCAACAATATTCCCTGGCCATCTTCCTGTATTCCCCCTACATTCTTCTATTGCTGATTCTTTGCTTTTCCTAGCAGAATATTTTCCTCATAGATGTTAGCTCCTGAGAAGTTTCCCAAAATATTAGAGGAAAAGAGAGGGGGATTTAAAAATGACTCTTAACTGACCTACCTTCATTATCTTCACTCTTTCATTCCTTCCTGCTACCTCATGTCTTCTCTTTGCTTTCTAGCATGCTGAAAGGAGAGAGGTTATATAAGTGGCAGCGTATTCAGTGGTAAACAGCTTTGCAAATTTAAGAACTTGCTTTATAAATATATTCAGATATGTATTCTCCCCATCCCACACACTTATGCATTTTCCAAAGATATCATTTTTTAAAAAGCACTTTTTCAAACAAAGTTTTGTCAAGCCAGGTGTTATACAGGTGTTTTGAAAAATTTCAAATGTCACTAGACAGGAAAAAATCCAACATCTCTCCTCAGCATAGTTTGCATTTACTTGACCCCTATTTATCAATACTATACCATGGATGTTTTTTTTAAGGAAAACTTGAGTTGGTAAATGGACTTTAAAATAATCTTTTAAAGACCTTTTACATCTAATGTAGCATTTACATAAAAGTAAAAAATAAAAATGGAATGAATTGTAAAGTTATTTAAGTACTGAAGTTAATTTTTTTTCTGTGATTTTATTAGTGAGAAATACCTGAGAAATAGGCAAGACACAAACAAAGGCATGGAGGCAGTTCAGTTGATTGAGGTTGTTCCTATATGTTGACATGTAATGGAGTCCAAAGAATTCATCTTTATTCCAAAAAACTTGCAACCCATTTAAAACTTATTCCATTTGTTGTGTGGAATGCATATGACTTGTAACCTAAATTCATTGCCCTGGCTGCCCCATGTAGAGATGGATGCAAAGACCCCAACAAACCCAAAGTCAATGTATTAGCTCCAAAATCAAACAATAACAATCAAACCAAATAATCTCAAATTAAGGCAAAAAGTTATTCTTGAGGTGAGTCACTCTCTCATCGTCCCTGCTTTTTAGGAAACTTGTTAATTTGGTGCCACCAACCTCAATATTTAAGTGTAAGTATGAATTTCCATTTAATTCACCCACCCCACCCTGACCCCTTAAAAGGGAGATTATTCTCCTAGAATTAGAACCATATTCTTTTGATAATTAGGAAAGGCTGACCTGATACATTGTATCTGTTGTATAACTGATTTGGAGGTCACTGTCAAGCAAAGCTTAAAACCATGGAATGCAGTGGCTTAACTGTGCTGTTCTTACACATTTTAGACAATGCTTAGCTACCCAGTGGTACAATCCACACCTGGTTCCTTTCATAGCATGTCTCTTTGCTCATAAATCAACATCTGGTGCTTAAGATATTATTAAATAAGGCAGTATTCAGAAGGCATTTTCTACCCTCCCTTTTTTCTTTTATTGTCAGAGATGGATGGGGAAGTGAAATAGCAGATTCCTCAGAGAGACTATACTACAACCTGTCATCCCCATAAAGCAATAAAAGCAAAATAGTCCTATGCTAAGTGGAAGAAGTTGTATACTTTTTTTTTTTTTTTTTTTTTGCAGTACGTGGGCCTCTCACTGTTGTGGCCTCTCCCGTTGCGGAGCACAGGCTCCGGACGCGCAGGCTCAGTGGCCATGGCTCACGGGCCCAGCCGCTCCGCGGCATGTGGGATCTTCCTGGACTGAGGCACGAACCCGTGTCCCCTGCATCGGCAGGCGGACTCTCAACCACTGCGCCACCAGGGAAGCCCAGAAGTTGTATACTTTAAAGTCATCATTATTTAAAAACGCAAGGAGAGTTACACAAAAGGCTCTAAATTAGGAAGGGGAACTTAGAAAATGCTTGCTTGAGAAGTATGTTAGAGACTGAAATTTATAAATCCAAATATGGAAAGAAACCCATTAAGACAGGGAATATTCTTACACTGTGGAAAGCTTTCCTGGTCCACTTGAAACATTCTGAATTCTTTTCTTCAATATCAGAGATAAGTCTGATATTTATTAAAATTTGTCACGTTCAGTTCCATGGAAGGACTATTTTAAAAGCTCTAAATCTTTTTTTCTTACTTTTTATAGTATCACCTTTTCCCCTCATTGCTTAACTGTCTCTAAATTTCAATGATAGGACAATATTTTAAAGTTCAGATAACTACATTTAGAGGCAGAAACAAACCTAGCTAATTTCTCTACTTTTCTTGGGATCTGGAAGTTTCTAAAGGAAGGTGAGCTTAAGTTTTATTTCCTCTCCTAGAATGAAATAATGCCCCTCTCAATTGTTTAGTAGGCATTTACCACAATGGAAAAGATGGAATCTTAAATATGTCTTTCCTTTTGTTACATACAGTTAGAATTCATTCAGTACTGTTTCTACATTAGGTGTTAGGTGTTTCAAAACAAATCATCTTTTCAGGAGAAGTCTTTATTTTTTGGAAATAATTCACAGTATATTTCGATTGGAATTTCAGGTTGTATTTCTCTTACCAACACATCATAAAATTCACACCAAATTGCTCTGCCACCAATGCAGGTTTTTCCCTTATCAAAAAGAGATTATTTCATTGGCCAAATCTAATTTGGAACCAGTGTGCATTGGTGGGGCATGTCATCAGAAGAAAGTTTTATGTCTGCTGAACTAAGAAGAACCTTATCATTTAGGAGAGAGAAAAGATGATTTCAGTCCTTCAGTTCTACAACTGAAGACTACAATTATAGTAGATAATTTATTTCTAACAATTTGTAAACACTGACAGTCCAAACAACAAATATTTAGGAAGGAGCAGCTAGCCCATCTCTATGCTAAAATACCTAAATTTCCATAAATAAATAAGAACATCTGCTGTTTTTTTTAAAAAAAACGATTTGATTCTTATTCAAACTCTAATATGATAAGTGTACCTTATCTTAAAACTTGATACATGAAAAATGCAAAGTTTAAAGGATAAAATTAGGGACTTTACATAAGAATTTGCAGTTATTTCTCCAGTGGCATTTAAAATATGATTTGATTTACAAAAAACATTTTCAGGATACTTTGTGTGTTGAACATATCGATGAGGTGCTTCAAAGTGTGGATTATATACAGTTAGTTGAATTATATAAATGGTATTTTTTTCCTCATCTTTCCTTTCTTCTTCCACATTATTTAGAGCTAAGAAAAATAAATTTCTTCCACTATTCACCTGTCAACAGTGATAATATGAAATTTTCCGTGAAACATTACTTTTTACATGAAACGTGTTTATTTTTAAACTTCAGTGACAGAATTAAACCTGTTTTATTTATACAAAATAGGAGTCCCCTCTTTAAGATGCATGAAATGCCCATATATATACATTTATGCAGTTTAGTCATAAATGTTCCAAACTATATTTTAAGGTATCAGTAAATGCCTTTTGTTGTGAACTATTACTGTAATAACTCATAACATCATGATGAATAGATTCTGTCTCATTAAAAAACAAAACAGAACAAAACCAAAAAAACCTTTCCAAACTCTTAAGGTTAAAAGAAAAATCTTAACTGTATATTGTCAAAACATTTACACATCCTCCAAAACATCACTGCATGTGGGACTTCCCTGGTGGCACAGTGGTTAAGAATCCGCCTGCCAATGCAGGGGACACAGGTTCGAGCCCTGGTCTGGGAAGATCTCACATGCTGCAGAACAAATAAGCCCGTGAGCCACAACTACTGAAGCCCACGAACCTAGAGCCCGTGCTCCGCAACAGGAGAAGCCACCACAATGAGAAGCCTGCGCACGGCAACGAAGAGTATCCACCGCCCGCCGCAACTAGAGAAAGCCCACATGCAGCAGTGAAGACCCAACACAGCCAAAAATAAATAATTAAAAAAAAAAAGAATGTATATATAACTGAGTCACTTTGCTGTACAGCAGAAATCAACACAACATTGTAAATCGATTTAAAAAACGTCTTAACTAAAAAAAAATCATCATCCATAGAAACCAAAATACAGATGCTAAATTCAAAAAGGAAAATCATGAAGGATGTGTTTCCAACAAACAAGGACATCTCCTACATAATCACAATAGGACCATCAAAATCAGGAAAGTAACATTGATACATTACTGTCATCTAATCTCAGACACCATTCAATTACGTCCTTTTACCAAAAGGTTCCAGTCTAGAACCACACGTTCATGTCTCTTTTGTCTCCCTCAGTCTGCAACAGTTTTCCAGACTTTCCTTGTTTCACGAACTTGACACTTTTGAATATTACAAGCTAGTTACTCTGTAGAGTTTCTCTCAATTTGATTTGATACTTGACTCATGATTAGATTCAAGCTAACATACATTTTTGGCAGAAATATCACAGGAATGATGTTGTGTTCTCAGCACATTCTATCAGGTTGAGTATGATTCAATTTTTGTCCCCATACTGGTGATATTAACTTGAATCACTTCATTAAGGTGGTATCTGCCAGACTTTCCACCAAGTAAAATTCCTTTTGTTTTGTAATTAATATTTTGTAGGGGGTTTACTCTCAGACTGTGCAAATACACTGTTGTTCCTCATCTAACTTTCATTTTTTACGGATTCTTATTTTATTCAATGGATTATAATCAATTATTATTCATTTTGATGCTCAAATGGTTTCATATTTAGCCAGTGAGAATCCTTTCAAGCTGGCTCCGGTATCCTTTTGACATGTCCCCATCACTCCTGGAACACTCACTTCCTTACCTTCTGGAGTAAGATGTTACAGTATCATCTTGTACTTTCTCTGCCACAGCCATTTCTCCAAGAAGTCCTGGTTTCTTTTAGTGAAGAATATATTTAGAAACCGAGATCTAGGTGCCAGGTATGCTCATTGGAGTGTCACTGATCCCGTCTTCTCACATGTGTGCACAAAAACACACATTTTCATCTATTATTATTTCTCTATCTTGAAAACTATATGAGTTTATACCAGTAACTCCAGTTCCAAACCAACACTACAAAGTTCATTCTAATTTTCTCTCTTCATGTTTATAACCCCTTCTAGGGCAGTGAGAAACATGGCTCCCATTATAACAAATATATTTACTTTTGATCAATATCCCTGAATGTAAGCAATATTCCATTGCTGCTGTCACTGCCGTCTACATAGCCACCCCCCCTTTTTTTTTTTTTGGTATGCGGGCCTCTCACTGTTGTGGCCTCTCCCGTTGCGGAGCACAGGCTCCGGACGCGCAGGCTCAGCAGCCATGGCTCACGGGCCCAGCCGCTCCGCGGCATGTGGGATCCTCCCGGACCGGGGCACGAACCCGTGTCCCCTACATCAGCAGGCGGACTCTCAACCACTGCGCCACCAGGGAAGCCCTACATAGCCCTTTTTACCCCATTCAGGTTCTGACACCTTATGCTGGGACTGTCCCTGTACAAATGCCCTTCTCACCGTGCTCAAGCTGACATCCCTTGGTGGGCAGTCACCATCACCATCCACTGCACAGATGCCTCCCCCTCCACCACTTGGGCTCAGATATCCTGAATGGACCTCCTTTCTGCATGGATTACCCCTCACATTCATTTGGGCTGCTCCTTCACGATGCTCTTCACTGTGTTTTAGTGACACCCAGCTCTGGGTCATGATAGCTTTACCTTGCTCAGCCCCACTTAATGGCTTTTGGATTGAATTGTTAGGGAAGGGATGGTGAAAAAGGAAGAGGACCAGTTTACATTCATTAATTGTTACAATTATAGCCTAAGAAAGCCATAGTATTTTCTTAAGGGGCAGAGAGAGGAATGGGATTAGCAGTATAGTGGGATGGGCAAAGCTTGGACAAAGCATCTCCCAGGACAGAAACTTCAGTATTAAAGTGTATCTCTAAACTCTTTTTCCAAAATCTTTCCTGCTTAGTATTCCTTTGATTCTTAAGGCTTTGTCTTCTTAACACAATTAAGAAGACTCTAGCATATCTGGTACATAGCCCCCAATTTGCTGAATACATGAAAATAATGCATACTTCATGTCATTTGTCTGGTCTAGTTTCCCTCCATAGTAAGTATGGCTCATGTCATACATTTTACCAAAAGCAAAAAAACTTTTCTGCACCTGTGTTAAGAGCAACCAGATAGAATTGAGAAGACAAGCTCAAGTCCTTTCTCATCCACTACCAAGCTAAGGAACCTTATTTAAGTCACTCAACTTTACTGGCCCCATCTCCTCATGGGTAATAATATACATACATACACACAATATATATACATATGATATATATACACACTAGTATTTACTGTGTGCTAACGTCAGGCACAGCATTACATACATTGTTTCAAGCAATCCTCACATCAGTCTTATGAAAGAGACCCTTTTATTATCCTCATATTACAAATAAGGAAAACATAAAGTTCAGAGAACTTAATTTGTCCAAGATTATGCAGCAAGTGGTGGACCCAAGATTTCCAAATCTCAGCTATTAAACCTGATGTCATACCATCTTAAAAACATTTTAAATTCGAGGGGTTATAGATGATTTCTAAGTTCATTCTTGTTTTAAAATTCTAATTTTAAGAAATACTTAACAGATATTAAAGTAAATGAAGTTAAAACAATGAAGTAAAAACTTTTCTAAACGTTCACTCATGCCAGCTATTATAGTAGGTACTGGGCATACAAAGTTGAGGCCAGATCTTTGCCTTCCAACAACTAACATACAATCATTATACCATAATGCTGTGATGGTATTACCCACAGAATTAAAAGGAAACAGAGGTGTGGCTGAAACAAAGAAAGGTATTATAAGAGGTTTTCTGGAGGCAATCACACTTCAGTTTTAAAAATAAGGAGTTAGGCAGAAACATGACTTTCCAGGCAAAGCGATTAGTATGTGAGAAGGCACGGTCACCTTGAAACAGCACTGTGTAATTGGTATGATTGGAACAGGAGTAAACAAGGGGAGGGAGAAGGAAAATTAAAGACACTGAATCACAGGAACAGCTGTTTACCAATTCATAATAATTTCTTTTAAGTACATTATTTTAGACCTCATATATTTAAAAGAACACGTATCTAGCAACAAATATAATGAACCCCTTGTTTATACTGCTCCAAATAATTCGTTATCAAAGAACTGCTGCCCTGTGCATAAGCCATTTGACTAATCAACATCTACATATTCTTCCTATAGAAATGACTAAGATTAACCAGCATGGCCAACACTCCTCCATCATATATTAAAAATCTTAAATTACAAAAATGTTTACTGTGAGATATCTTATGCATACAGAATAATATATAAAACACATTTACAATTGATAGAGTGAACAGCCAAGTAACTACCACCCAGGTCAAAAAACTATTGTCAGGGGCTTCCCTGATGGCGCAGTGGTTGGGAGTCCACCTGCTGATGCAGGGGACACGGGTTCGTGCCCCGGTCCGGGAAGATCCCACATGCCGCAGACTGGCTAGGCCTGTGAGCCATGGCCGCTGAGCCTGCGCGCCCGGAGCCTGTTGCTCCGCAACGGGAGAGGCCACAACAGTGAGAGGCCCGTGTACCACAAAAAAAAAAAAAAATCAGGCAGGACTTACCTGGTGGCACAATGGTTAAGAATCCACCTGCCAATGCAGGGGACACGGGTTCAAGCCCTGGTCCGGGAAGATCCCACAGGCCGCAGAGTAACTAAGTCCGTGCGCCACAACTACTGAAGCCCGCGCATAGAGCCCATGCTCTGCAACAAGAGAAGCCACTGCAATGAGAAGCCTGCGCACCACGACGAAGAGTAGTCCCCACTAGCCGCAGCTAGAGAAAGCCTACACGCAGCAACAAAGACCCAGCGCAGCCAAAAATAAATAAAATTAAAAAACAACAGGCAAAAGAAACAGATACTTCAAAAATGATATCAAAATGCTAATAAATATGAAAGTCATCAGGGAACCCCAAAATAAAACCATGAGATACCACCACACCCACCAGAACGGCTCAAATTAAAGGACAAAAAGACAAAGGTTAAACAATTACAAGTGTAAGCAAGAATGTGAAGCAACTGTAACTCTCATACATTGAAGTTTATTTTGGAAAACTGACATTACCTATTATTATGAACACATACTTACCCTATGGATCAGCAATTCCATTCCTAGGACCTACCCAATCAAAACATATATATGTACATACTAGAAGACAAATGTAAGAATGTTCCTAGAAGCATTATTCATAATAACCCCCAAATGGAAATAACTCAATGGCCATCAACAGTAGATGGATAAATATTATACAATCAAGAAAACAAGCAAAATTAATCTATGGTGTTAAAGGCAGGGAATACACTGGGAAATGGTTTGAGGGGAGCTTCTGTGGGGCAGGTAATGGTCTCTTTTTGAACTGGGTATGTTCACTGTGTAAATCCATTAAATTATGTACTCATGATATATGGACTTTTCTTTATGTTTGTTATCCTACAATTTTTAAAAGCTTACTAAGAATATTCTGGTGATTTTTGGCACAGACTTATCAGAGGTGGAACCTTTTTGTGTCAAATAGGGCTTTTTTGGTAGAAAGCCAAATCCAATCAGCCCAAGAGAAAAATACTGGTTTAAATATCGAAATATGATCTACTAGAGCCAAAGTTTCAAAAGCAATCATCAGATCTTTGTCCTTCTCACCTCTCATTTCTGTTTTCTTTTGTGTGGGCTTTATTCTGTCAGGCAGTCAGGCACTCATTTTCCCATGTAACTCTGGAATTACTTCATCTTCACAGCTAGAATTCTACTGGAAAACATCACTTTAAGTTATGACAAGTCTCAGAATTGGCCTATCTTGAGTCACATACCTTCCTGGAGCTCTTACAGCCCCATTTGAAACACTGGACTAAGAGTAGTGAAGGGTACTTTCCCAAGTGAAAATCAAGGCACTATTCTCAGAAATGGGGGAGTGAATGCCAAAGAGGCAAAAACATCTGTACATCTGGGGAAGGAGAGAGAAGAAATCCTTAATTTGCAGTTTCTCCCTGAGTTATGTCAAACTTGGTTAATAAAAGTATTATGTAACAGAGCTATCACATGATCCAGCAATCCCACTCCTGGGTATACATCCAGATAAAAACAAAAACTCTACTTGGAAAAGATACATGCACCCCAATGTTCATAACACTATTTACAATAGCCAAGACATGGAAACAACTCAAGTGCCCATCAACAGGCTGGCTTAAGAAGATGTAGTATATATACACAGTGGAATATTACTCAGCCATAAAAAAGAATAAAATATTGCCATTTGCAGCAACATGGGTGGACCAAGAGAAGAACATGCTTAGTGAAGTCAGAGAAAGACAAATACTGTATCACTTATATGTAGACTCTAAAAAATAATTCAAATTAATCTACATACAAAACAGAAGGACTCATAGACCTAGAAAACAAGCTTATGGCTTCCAAAGGGGAGAGGGAGGACAGGAGGGACAAATTAAGAGTATAGGATTAACAGATACAAACTACTGTACATAAAATAAATAAGCAATAATGCTTTACTATATAGCACAGGGAATTACATTATCTTCTAATAACCTATAATAGAATCTAAAAAAAAAAAACTGAATCACTATGCTATATACCTGAAACACAATGTAAATCAATTACACTTAAATAATTTTGTTTTTTAAATATGTAACTTTTCCTATCTAAACCATCCATGCTGCTTTGAGTCTCTGAATTACTGGGAGAGGGAAATCAACAGTTTCTTATCAGATCTCTCCACCTCCAGTCTCTTTCTCCTAGGCTTTATCTTGCATACTATAGTCAAATGAAATCTTCCCAATATATGGCTTTAGTATGACAACCCTAACAAAGGAATCCAATTCTCCACCAAAGTTGAAGATTTTTAGCCTGTCACTCATGGTCTTCCATGATCTCACCCTAACTCTTTCACAGTTACATTATGCTACACCCCTCTGTGTACACAAAGTCAGTGCTTTTGAAGTGTTTGTCACTGTCACTGATATATTTTAAATTATTAGGGTGTAGCTGATATTTAATATGTCAGTCAAGAGATACAGGCATTAGCTTTCTTGCTACTTTTCCTTTCTGGTTTAAAAAGTATAACAAAATGATTTATGAATGCTAAATTTGATCTTTTATATATATTTTCTTAAAGACAATATTCTTACTAAACTACGTTTATCCTTCTAAAATA